TTCACCACGTTGACCAGGATGGTCTTGATCTCTTGACCTTGTGATCCACCCGCCTCGGCCTCCCAAAGTGCTGGGATTACAGGCTTGAGCCACCGCGCCCGGCCGTACTTATGATATTATTGCTTTTAATATCTGCATTTACTTGAACATTTACCTAAATGTTCAGTGTTAATATTACTGTTAGTTAATATTCAATATTGACTAGTCTCATTCTCCAGCTTCCCCTAAGGTATCTTCCACATTACTAGAAAGAGATAAACACTCATAACTACCCATTTAACGTCCCTGCCTATAGTCTATAATCTCCAGCCCCTTAAGACCCTGCCTTCCTCTGTAGTTTTCAGACTTCTCACACACACTTTTTCATCCACCTTATGCTCTGTGTTCTATTATGTAAATTTCTTGCACATGTCTCGTTTTTACCATGCTGCTCTGTCTAAATTTATAGTTCCCTTAGTTGCTAACACCACTTACTTTCTTTGCCTGGCTAACTACCACACATAAAGATTTTGCTAAGGCACTGCTTCTTCCAGGAAGCCTGCCCTACCCATTGCCACCCCAAGGACAAGTAAAGTATCTTTCCCTGGACTGTTATGATACCCTGCTGCCTATGTCTCTCTTGACTTTTATTATAACAAAATGTCAGCAAAGAGTGTGAACTCCCCAGGTAGTGTTAAGTCCTCTCTTGCTAATGATGTTCACAATAGGCCCGAAGGCCATATCTGGTTGTTGTCAAAACTCAAATTTCCTCAGATTATCATTGCTCATGAAGACACGGCAAAACCTCATCTCTACAAAAAATGCAAAAATTAGCCAGTTATGGTGCCATGTGCCTGTAGTCCCAGCTACTTAGGAGGCTGAAGTGGGAGGATCACTGAACCCAGGAAGTAGATATTGCGGTGAGCCAGGATTGTGCCAGTGCACTCGCGGGCGACAGGGCAAGACTCCGTCTCTAAATAAATAAATTAATAAAATTTTTCTTGAATATAAAATGAGTTTCTCTTTTATATTTTAAATTTTGTTTTGGACACATACAAAGCTTCAAGTAATATTTACATTTTGATGTTAAATTTTATAGGTATATGATGATGGAAAATATGTGTATGTAGTAACAGAACTTATGAAAGGAGGTGAATTGCTGGATAAAATTCTCAGACAAAAATTTTTCTCTGAACGAGAGGCCAGTGCTGTCCTGTTCACTATAACCAAAACCGTTGAATATCTTCACGCACAAGGGGTAAGTCGTTTTAACACTCTATACACACGCATACACACGCGTGCACACACACACATACACACACACTTTTTTTCTTTATGTTTGAGCTAAAATTACGAAGATAGAAGTTGCTTTATGCATGTAATGGAAAAAAGCTGCTATTAGCTGAATTATCCTACTGGTCTTCCTCTATGTAAACTTTTCTCATTGAGATCGAAGTATTCCTTTGATAGCCTAGCTTGTTTATGTTAAACTCCTGTGCTTCCAAGGAAAAGTAAGTGATCTCTTCCGACCTGGAAAACATAGCATTGTGTCTGCCAGGTCACTCTGTACTCATGAAAACCAGGCCCACTTCAGGTTAGAAGCAGAAACAAGGAATCCTGGTTTGTATTCATGTATAAAAGGAAATCCTTGAAACAATGAAGTCAAGTAGTCACATGCTTCTGGCTGATGGATATGCTCTTCATTCTTCTTGTACACAGATTTTTAGTAAACAGCAAAAAGAGAAATCATATTTCTAGGCTGGCACAATGGCTTATTCCTGTAATCCTAACACTTTGGGAGGCTGAGGCTGCCAGATCACTTGAGATCAAGGGTTTGAGAAAATCATATTTTTAAAAGAAGGCAGCCGGGCATAGTGGTTTACTGTAGTCCCAGTACTTCGGGAGGCCAAGGCAGATGGATCACAAGGTCAAGAGTTCAAGACCAGCCTGGCCAAGATGGTGAAACCCCGTCTCTACTAAAAATACAAAAATTAGCCAGGTACAGTGGCAGGTGCCTGTAATCCCAGCTACTCAGGAGGCTGAGGCAGGAGAATTGCTTGAACCTGGTGGGGCAGAGGTTGCAGTGAACTGACATTATGCCACTACACTCCAGCCTGGACAACAGAGAGACTCTGTCTCAAAAACAAAAAAGAAAATCATATTTTTAAAAGAAGGTGGCCAAACATAGTGGCTCATGCCTGTAATCCAGCACTTTGTGAGGCCGAGGCGGCAGATCACCTGAGGTCAGAAGTTCAAGACTAGCCTGGCCAACATGGCAAAACCCCGTCTCTACTAAAAATACAAAAATTAGCTGGGCACCATGGTGCACGCCTGTAATCCCAGCTACTCAGTACGCTGAGGCAGGAGAATTGCGTGAACCAGGGAGGCAGAGATTGCAGTAATCTGAGATCGCGCCGCTGCACTCCAGCCTGAGCGACAGAATGAGACTCTGTCTCAAAAAAAAAAAAAAAAAAAAAGAAATCTGGGAGGAAAGGAGAAAATGAGGGGAGGGAGAGAAGAAGGGAGAATAGCAGAGGAGTGAAGAGGAATAGAAACCAAGGGGAAAATAAACTTTTTTTTTTTAAGTTTTTAGTTGACAAATTATATATATTCATGGTATACAACATGATGTTTTGATACATGCATATGTAAAAGTTTACTTCATAAGGAGTTCAGTTTCAATACATTCTTCTTGTTTTGTCTTTGCGTCGAAAGCCAACAAGTAGAATGTATTAATTCTAGTGCTTCCTGACTTCTAACTTACGAAGATTTGCCTAGTATTATACCTTCAAATTAGTAGAACTCAGTATTCACTGAGGAACTTATGACCTTGCAGTCATCAAAGTCTTCTGTGTTCTTTTCCCAATGCCTCATCAGTAATTCATTATTAAAGTAGTGTGTGAAAGTGATGTCCTGGATGTGAGGAACTAAATATAATTGATTAGAACATAGGCTCAGAATTTGATGATGGAAGGCACACTTAAGTCTAAAAAGGAATGTCAGAGAAGCTTATGATAAAAGAAGTAGAGTAGTCCCCTGCTAATCTTCAATTTTTCTTTCTGTGTTTTCAGTTACCCACAGTCAACCATGGTCCAAAAATATTACAGTATTTTGAGAGACCACATTCACATAACTTTTATTACGGTATATTGTTACAATTGCACTACCTTATTAGTCATTGTTAGTCTCTTACTGTGCCTAATTTATAAATTAAATTATATTATAATTTAATTTATAAATTATATTAAATTATAGATATGTATATCTAGGAAAAAATATATAGTTTGGTATTATCTTCAATTTTAGGAATCCACTGGGGGTCTTGGAATATATACCCTACAGATAAGGGAGGGCTACTGTACTCAGGTAGATCATTAAAGGAGGAAAATAATACAGAACTCTAAAGAAAAGGTTACTTTCTGCATATTTAACATCTTATATAACAAATAACCAATACCAAAAATAAAGTCCAGATTTGTTTTGGTTTTTTCCTTTTTATTCCTCAATGCCCTCTCTGTTCCATTTAGTCTATCAGAATGTATTTGTTGTGTATGTACCTTGTACCTGCTATTCCTTCTAGTTAGAATGATTCTCACCCACTGATCTTAGGGCTCATTCATTCTGTTCTTCAGATACTGGATTAGATGTTACCTCATCTAGAGAACCTCCCTGATACCCTATTTAAAGTGACCTCCCTAGTTATGCCCCATCTCTCAACCTGTCTATTCTTTGCTTCCCCCAGAACAGTGTAAGCTCCTAGCACGGAAAGGCCAGGATCTTTTGGGTCTTGTTCACCACAGTAGCTGCAGCAGCTTTATATTACCCTGGTACATGATAGATACTCAGTATTAAATGAGTGATCAATCTGGAGGTACATTATTGCTGTTTGCATTTTTCCTTAACCCAGTTACTCAGTTGGACAAAGAGGAAGGAGGTAAATACTGTTCTTTCTTCGTCCTCCTCCTTGTCCCAGGTCTATGTTAGAGAGTTATGCTTTATATTATCAGCATTTTATAATGTTGGGCTAATGTAAAGGTCAGCGCTCATCATCTTGTTAAGTGCATTGCTTGACAATTTGTGAATAAAGAACTTTCAGTAATGGAAATATATTGTTAACATAACTCTTTAATTTGTATTTCAATTAGGTGGTTCATAGAGACTTGAAACCTAGCAACATTCTTTATGTGGATGAATCTGGTAATCCGGAATCTATTCGAATTTGTGATTTTGGCTTTGCAAAACAGCTGAGAGCAGAAAATGGTCTTCTCATGACTCCTTGTTATACTGCAAATTTTGTTGCACCAGAGGTAATTGTGAGAGAGTTTGCTTGCAGTGTTTTAGTATGTTTTGAAACTCATTCCCTATGTTTCATACAGAATTATTAATAATCATTTAACTGAAGACTTGCTGAACAAATAATTAGGATAAAATGCCAACTTTTCATTTCCCTGTTTAATGTTTCAGTGACATCTAACAGCCTACAGAAGAATCTCAATTTCCTAACAAGGTATTATAAAAGCCATTGAGGCTGGGCACAGTGGCTCATGCCTGTTATCCTAGCACTTTGAGAGGCTGAGGCAGGAGGACCCTTTGAGGCCAGGAGTTTGAGATCAGCCTGGACAACATAGTGAGACCCCATCTCTACAAAAAATTTAAAAATTAGCTGGGCATGGTGGCGTGCCTATAGTCTCAACTACCCAGGAGGCTGAGGTAGGAGGATCACTTGACCCCAGGAGTTTGAGGTTGCAGTGACCCAGGATCACACCACTGAACTCCAGCTTGGGTGACAAAGCAAGAAGTCCTCTCTTAAAAAACAAAAAAGCCCTTCAGTCTCTCTGGTATTCCCTACCCGAAGTTCTAGACACACTGAACTTCTGGCCTATCTCTGAGCCTGCTCTGGTTTCTTCCATATAGGTCCAATATAAGCAGGCGCCCTCTAGCCTTCTTTCTCTCCCCCTGTCAAGAATAAATTGCTTCCTTATTTTCACACCTATAACATTTAAGACATGATTTGGGGTTTTTGTTTGTTTGTTTGTTTAGGGACAAGGTCTCTCTCTCTGTTGCCTAGGCCAGAAGGCAGTGGTGCAATCATAGCTCACTGCAGCCTTGAACTCCTCAGTTCAAGCAGTCCTCCTGCCTCAGCCTCTCAGGTAGCTGGGTCAGGGGAACACCACTGTGCCTGGCTTCTTTTTAATTTTAATTTTTATTTTTTAATTTATTTATTATACTTTAAGTTCTGGGGTACATGTGCAAATCATGTAGGTTTCTTGCATAGGTATACACCTGCCATGGTGGTGGTTTGCTGCATCCATCGCCCCATCATCTACAGTAGGTATTTCTCCTAATGCTATTCCTCCCCAATCTCCCGATTCCCTACTATTCTTCCCCTAGCCCCCATTCCCCAGGCCCCGGTGTGTGATGTTCCCCTCCTTGTGTCCATGTGTTTTCATTGTTCAACACCCACTTTGCAGAAAGTTGAAACTAGATCCCTTCCTTACACCTTATGCAAAAATTAACTCTAGATGGATTAAAGATTTAAACATAAGACCTAACACCATAAAAACTCTAGAATAAAACCTAGGAAATACCATTTTATTTTTATTTTTAAAGGTGAGGTCTTGGCCAGATGCCATGGTTCATGCCTGTAATCCCAACACTTTGGGAGGCCAAGGTGGGTGGATCTCTTGAACTCAGGGGTTTGAGACCAACCTGGGCAACATGGTGAAACCCTGTCTCTACTAAAAATACAAAAATAAGCCAAGCATGGTGGCACATGCCTGTAATCCCAGCTGCTTGGGAGGCTGAGGCTTGAGAATCACTTGAATCTGGGTGGCAGAGGCTGCAGTGAGCCAAGACAATAATAATAAAAAGAATTCTTACCGTGTTGCCCAGGTTGGTCTCAAACTCCTGGCTTCAAGTGATCCTTCCACCTTGGCCTCCCAAAGTGCTGGATACCAGGTGTGAGCCACCATACCCTACCCAGACTTGATTTTATTATAATATTTACCAAATTGAGTTGTTAACTATTTTTATGTTTATTTCCCATCAAATTCTTTCTTTTTAAGGAAATCAGGGTTTTTTGTATTTGTCATAGTTCCCACCTGATAAAAGTTGGTGATTTTTGTACTAGGTTATGTGTTCTTGTGTGTGTGTGTGTGTGTGTGTGTGTGTGTGCTCTTAAAAGCATTTTTTTGTAAATATTTCTGTAGCCCCAAACAAAATATAAATTCATTAAAATAAGAAAGGTGTCTTTAGTTTGTTTTATATTCCTGTGTGTCTACAACACTCAATAAATATTAATTTGAATACCAAAATTAAATTTATATATCAATTATTAGTCATAGAATGTTCTAGAATAGGATTAATGTATTGCCTTATTTGGTAACCATGTTCTGTTGAAATTTTCCTTATAGGTGTTGATTTGGGAGATATAATTCAGTTCATAGCCTGTCCAAATATATATACAAAATGGTGGTATAGTAATACTGAGTTTTTACTTTTTCTAGGTTTTAAAACGACAAGGCTATGATGCTGCTTGTGATATATGGAGTCTTGGTGTCCTACTGTATACAATGCTTACCGGGTGAGTATATATATATACCATATGTTCTAAGCACCTAAGCATTTGTTCATCAATATTTTGCTTAAGTTATCTAGGTTTTTGTTTTGTTTGGGAGCATTTTTTGTTTGCTTGCTTTTTTCTTTAGAGACAAGGTCTCACTCTGTTGCCCTAGGACTACAGGGGTGTGCCATAACACCTGCCTGATTTATTTATTTTTTTGTAGAAACAGGGTCCTGCTGTGCTGCCTAGGCTGGTTTAAAACTCCTGGGCTCAAGCGATCCTCCAGCTTTGGCCTCCCAAAGTGCTGGGATTATAGGCATGAGCCACTGTGCCTGGCCTATGTAGGTTTTTTTTTTTTAATCCAGATGTCATATCTTTCCATGTTTTCTCATGTTATCTAATATATACAATTCTGTAACAAGTCCACATTTATGGCTACATCATTACTGATTTTTATAATGTACTATTTATTAATGTCTTGAGGTCCTAAATTGATTTTTTCCATACATTTTTGTATTCTTGTCATGTCAGAAACATACACTATTTCTTAATATTTTATTCTATAATGTGCCGTGTCTTAAAATATATTATTGTATATTAAGTCTGATTAGTATTTTATAACCTATACCTTGACCTGGTACTTTATGGAGCTTTATTTTATTGATTTTTTTCACTTTGGTAGATTTTAATAAAATATTACATTAACTGAATTAAAGTACTTTTGAGATTACCAACCAAATAAAAATTGTATTCATTTATATTTTAATTTTATTATAAATTAGTTACACTCCATTTGCAAATGGTCCTGATGATACACCAGAGGAAATATTGGCACGAATAGGTAGCGGGAAATTCTCACTCAGTGGTGGTTACTGGAATTCTGTTTCAGACACAGCAAAGGTAAGCATGGCTTCTTATTATAAGCTTTTGAGAAAATAATTTTTTATGATCCATAGTGAGAAAAAATACTACCAGTTAGAAACTTTTGTTTATAAGTTAGTATGTTAAAGTAATGTTACCAAATAATTTGAACTCAAAAATTGACCCATTATTTTGTTTCTTTCCCAACTGACTTTGGTTTGGCCTTATTATTTGTACTTCTAAAACTGTTTCTCAAGCCGAGCATGGTGGGAGGCCGAGGCGGGTGGATCACAAGGTCAAGAGATTGAGACCATCCTGGCCAACATGGTGAAACCCTGTCTCTAATAAGAATACAAAATTAGCTGGGCGTGGTGGCGCACACCTGTAATCCCAGCTACTTAGAAGGCTGAGGCAGGAGAATTGCCTGAACCCAGGAGGCAGAAGTTGCAGTGAGCCAAGATCGGGCCATTGCACTCCAGCCTGAGCAACAAGAGCAAAACTCCGTCTCAAAAAAAAAAAAAAATGTTTCTCACTGAAGAACATGATAAATTATAACAGTGATAGTTTTCATGATTTGTCTGTCTATTGTGTGCCTCTTCACATGCCACTTTACCAAAATTATGTCATGTAATCCTTATAACACCCTGTGAAATAGGTGGTAGTATCCCCATTTCACAGAAAGAAATCAGAGCCCAGAATGTTAGTTTGAACTTGTCCATGTTATATACCAGGTTAACTATGTGGGTGCTTCAAACGAAATATGACTCCACAGCCCTCATTCCCTAGAATAATTACACCATGTTCTATTTTTAATTTAGATTATGAAGAAAGGGGTTTCAGTTTTTTTCACAATAAACAGGTGTAGTTTTATAGTATCTGCATGAAATCATTTGAAGAGCCTTTCTCATTGGAAGATCTGCCATCCCCTAAATAGCACTGACTTGCTTTCAAACTCTGCTCTATTTTTACTTTTTTCATAGAGAATTCTTTAAAAGAAAAAAGAATTAAGTTTTTTACTTCAAAATAAGAAAAACAGAGTAGATAAAGAGGATACATATTGGTAAAAGTACATATTCATTTTTCTTAGGGGTAAAAGCTTGAGTTGAAGTGATTGTATAAGTAAATAAAACACATCAAAAATGTATATAGATTCTATTGGCATAGCACCTGAAGCCTCAGTTAACTAGTTTAATGTCTGTATAGATAATATTTTGTTTTATAACTGCATTTAAAATGAAATGATGGCCGGGCACGGTGGCTCAAGCCTGTAATCCCAGCACTTTGGGAGGCCGAGGCGGGTGGATCACGAGGTCAAGAGATCGAGACCATCCTGGTCAACTT